TGCCTATTGTACTGGCTGCTTTGTGTATACCATGTATACTAAACATCGATCTCTGCTGTTTGTGCATCAATAGCAAACCTGAAATAAAACCGTATTTAAAGATCCACCTTGCTCCAGGGGGCTGTTTGTGCCCCCTTGTGTGTTTGCTTGGGCGGCGTTGGCAGAGTTCATCCTGGCTTATTGCAGCCCCAGCTCATTCACTGGAGGAAAAAAATTGGAAGGTCCAAACACATTATTCTGAATATTATGGCAATTTGTCTTGCTTCTGCTGTAGAATTTGTAGTTGGCAAAAAAAAAAACAACCCAAAACATCATGTTGGATGAATCCATGCAATGGCAGGACTCGCCTGCACCTGGGAGCGATTGCAGCGAGGCTGTGCCACGAGGCTGGTTTTGCTTTAGCCTGGGATCGGGATATTCTTCAGTCAGAATCACAGCAATATAGAACATAGAGTTAAATGGATGAATGCAAACTGGAACAGTGCTCTCACATCCTGGAACAACCGTGTCCTCGCATACCACGAGCTGGGAGTACCCATTCCCGACGTGCTCCTCTGGCGTCATTCATTCCGTCCACAGAGCAAAGCAAGAGCCTCTTTCCCACCACCTCCAGTGGGCCCAGGGAAGGCTGGGGGGTTGCTAGGTGCTTACAAAACACTCAGCAGCTCCCAGCCCTCCTCTGGGCCAGCGGTGAGATAAGGCACTGCCTGCTAATGGGCCACGTCTGCTGAGAGATGCCTGATGTCACTGCCTCAGCTTTTATTTCCCCCTGAACAATTGCAACTTTCTGTGCAGCTATGCTGTAACACTTTGGCAGTTTTTATGAGTTTTTTTTTTTTTTTTTGCATAAGGCAGAGCACATTTCCAATACCAAAGCAAAGCACAACAGCCCTGACTGAACACCTTCCCCTCTGCAGCCCGGTGACAGACAGCTCTGCCTCACCCCATGAGAAGCTCAGTTTCAGCCCCAAGAAATCCCACACTGCAGCAGCTCCAACTGCACACAGCTTTATTAGCAACAGAGGGCTTGCACTTCCGGGGCTCAGCAATAGCCATATGTAACCTGAACAAATCACCCAGAGAGATAAAAACGTGCACAAAGGAAACATTTACCTGGGAGGGAAGGAAGAAGCCAAGCACTGATGCCAGAACCTCAGTTCAAAGGGAAGGTCTGTGTTTAGCCAAGTTGTGGTCTGTTTGCTCAGGGCCCTGCTTTGCTGGGAAGGCTGCAATTACTTAACGGCTCAGGGATAAGGGCAGGCACCTGGAGCGGGGTGGGGACAAGGTGAGCTCCTGGGGAGGGAGGAGCAAAGCTGCAGCCCTGTGGAAGTATGGGGGTGGCAGACATGGGGATGCAGGGCACGTTGCTTGTTCCAAACTGCTGGGACACTTGCATTTGGTTTCCCCCCATTATTTTAGCCTCCCACCCCTTTCTTTGTTCCTGTACGCTTCTCCAGACATCAGCTTTTGCAGAAAGGTGCTGGGTTGGGCAAGATTCTGCTCTCACCCCCTGTACCTTTCCTTACAAACAGAAAGCAAAAAGCATGAGAATAGAATCCACCCTCGTGGCATAGCTGGTATTCACAATGAGACATTCAGAGCTTCAGCCTCTTATAGCAGCACCTATATTGCAAGTCATTCTCCTTACACGATGTCACACACTGGGGTCTTGCTGGGCAGGAGGATCCCATGGTGCCAGATTGAGTGTTGTGCCCCAAAGCTGCCCCTCATTGAGCCCAGGCACTGAGGATCCCTTTGGAGGAGGGAACACCCCTTTCTGTTATCATTGCCATTAATGTTGCTCTTTCTTTCTGCCTGGAGACAAAAGCACCACCAGACATATTGGGAACAAACAGTGCTAATGGGGAACACGTGGCCCAGCCAGCAGCAATGCTCACGTGAAAATACTGATGTGGAGCAGCAATGGGGCACAAAAATGCATTTCTATGCCAGGATAATTGATTCCCCCTTTGCCACCATAGGCTGCCGGTCACTTGCAGCAGACTAAACTTCCCCCCATCATCTTCCCCAGCCAGTAAACTGACACATTCCCACAAGAATCCATGTGAGTTTTGTTTTTTTTCCCCTGTATTTTTTCTAATTATACAACTCAACCAGCGCCAAAATCTGTCTGGCCAACTCGAATCTGGCAGCGGAGCTCCTGCACACAGGGCCAAGAGAATCACCTCCTTGCTGAAGGGCAGCAGGTTGGGAATGTACTCAGACAGAGCTCTTTGCAAGGCTCCAAACGGAGATTTCTATGCATGCATACACCTCCAGAGGAAGGCTGGCATTGGCTGCCCGTGTCAGCACTGTGCCTGGAGGTGAAGGCATGAGCTGAGCCCATCAGATGGCTGCTAATGACTGCAGTCCTTAGCTAGGGAAAGCACCTGGAAATGGCAGCATGGGGCAGTGGTGTGAGCCCCCAGCCCTTCCTGAGGACAGTGCTGTTGGGTTTGGTGTAATTAATATCGAGTTCAGCCTAGGGGACAGAAGGGCTCCCAAGGGCTTATTTAATGTGGCTTGATTATTTATTTTTTGAAGTGTTTTATTTTCCCCCTTGTAAATGAATTTAGCGCTGAGGAGAGGTGTTGGATTGGCAGCTCTGGAAATACAAGCCCTGAAGGGCAGATGTTTTGGAGTCCTGCAAGTAACAGCACTGCATGCGATCCAGGCATGAGGGCAATGACTCGCAGTCACTGCAACAGCTGCTATGTGCTCTGCACTCATTGATATTGCTGTGAGAAAGCAGAGCACACTGCCCACGGCCACCAGGCAGACTTCTCGGTGTCCCTGCACTGCTTTGGCCTGTCATGCAATGCCATATTGTTTGCACTGCATTCCAAGTGCAGTGTGCAGGCTCCAAATAGCAGAAATACGTGTTGGCAAGACCCTGGTCACTGCAGGGACCGAATCATAGAATCATAGAATCATAGAATCATAGAATCACCAAGGTTGGAAAAGACCTAAAAGCTCATCCAGTCCAACCGTTCACCTATTACCAATAGCTCCCACTAAACCATGTCCCTCAACACAACATCCAGCCTTTCCTTGAACACCCCCCAATGACATGTGCTGTCCAGAAGCAGCCCCATGTGCTGTGTGGATGCAGTCAGGACAGCTGGAGTGGGGATGGAGGGGAAAGTGCAGTGAGGTATGGTGATCTACGTGGGCATCTCGTACACCCAGGGAGTTTGGGAAAAGCCAGCATCCCCATGCTCTGAGTGAAATTTCCTGCAGACGCCCAGGGTCAGGGCTCTGAGCACCTCGTGGAGCTGTGGGTGTCCCTGTTCAGTGCAGAAGAGATGGGACTGGATGGCCTGGAAAGGTCCCTTCCAACACAAACCATTCTATGACTCCATGGTTCTAAGAAAGTTGGGTGTCCAAAGGCTTCATCTACCTTTGGGCTCCCTCTGGATTTAGGAGGAGGTGATGGGTTTTGGGGTATCACCATGGTGAAGCACTGCCTTGATCGGGGCAGTCCCAAGGTGCCCATTAACCCCTGCCTTCAGCACTTACTTTTGAGGTGAGGAAAAACAACCACAGAGGGAAACAGGGACTGAAAGACAAGGAGAACCTGGACGGTGCTGTTTTATCCCAAAGGCAGAGAAAAGGAAACAAGGCAAAGGAATGAAAACAAGGGAAACCTCGAGAGGGAGACGTGCTTGGCAGCCCCTACTGCCTCACTCTGCAAACACGGAGCAGCTGTTATCCCACCTGGACCTGGATGCTGGCTTCTCTGCATCCCTGGAGCGTCACGGAGCAGTGGAGATGCTCCACGAGTGCTCAGGGCACAGGTAATGCACAGCCCTGAGAGGTGATGGGGAGAAAGGAAAACACTTTTATGTTGTTCAGAGTGAGCTCTTTCTTTCTCTATTTTAATTTTCAGTTGGATGAAGCTGTGGGGAATGTGCTCCCTTTTGAAAAGGAACTCTTTGGGTTGTTCCCTTTTTCTTTGTGATCTACATTACCAGTTTTGGGGTTTCTCAGGGCCAAATTGCATGTGCCATCACCCCTGTGCCCAGCAGAAATCACCAACCCATCACCCCCAGTTCCCATTGCCCTCGCTGGCTCTGTATTTAATGCATTACATGGGAAAGCAGAGCTGGTCACTTGGCCCCAGTGGTGGCGTTGGGTTTTTCTTTGTGGTTTAAGGCCAAGCTAAAGGGCAAAGGGATTTGGGAAATGAGTGGTGCTTCGGGGTGGGCGCTGGCTCTGGGTAATCCCTAATCCCACAGCATGTGGAGAAATCCTGGCTTTGGGACACCACAAACACCATCAGTCCATGTCAGCGTAGCGGGGTGGAAACAAAATAGGGGGAATTTGCTTCATAGGAGGGGAAGAAGCACGAGGCAAGGTTTGAATCGCAGGGGCTGCGTGTGAAGGAGAACAGAGCTGGCAAAAATGAAGGGAAACACTCAAACCCCTCCATCTGTGGGAAAAGATAGGGTGGACGCAGCCCCTCTGGGGGACAACCTAAAATCTAGGGGCTGCCTGCAATGGAATGGTTCCTATTTGTCTGGGGAAAAGCGACGTCTGCTCCAATTAGCACGTCGCGTGCGCGTGCAGGGGAGGAGATGTTTTTGTTTCCTCTTAGGAAGAAAGAAAAGAATGAATAACAACAACAACAACAACAACAAAGCACGAAACGAGCTCTGTTGCAAAGCCAGAGTGCTGTGTCAGAGAGACCGGGATCCAAATGGTTTCTCTGAACCCTCCAAGAGGAACGGAGCATCCAATGCGGCTGGAAAACGGAGCACTACCTCCTAAAGCTGCCCTGGGGGAGGCCTTCAGTTGTTGAGGATGATTTTACAACTCCCCACAGCTGGGAGATCAGGAGCAGATGCCGACGGGGGCTCTGGAAGGGTTAAAACCATTCCGCCTGTTCGCACTGTTCCTTCTTAATATCGCCCTTGAATAAACAAACAGGCGAATCCCACCCTCTCCCCGGAGACTCGTACTTGGCTTGTTTCAGAGAACAAATGATAATTATTTGCCTTCATTTATTTATTTATTTAAAATTTCATTGTCTCCTTTCGGCAGCCATCGGGATTGAGGAAACCGAGTGACAAAATGAACAAGGGAAGCCATAAACTCGAATTAAACAAATCACTGATAAGCCCAGAGCAGAAAGGAGATAAAAACCCGATGACATTCCCCTCGTGGCACAGAGGCTGGAGATGTTGATAAAGCGCAGGGAGACGGATGGATGCAGCCAATGGATGCCAGTAGGTTAGGAGATGCAGGCGCAGCAGTGTCCTCCTTGTTCTAGACATTAGGACTGGCTTTTTGGGGATAGGTCAGGAAAATATCAGATAGATCACGACGTTTGCAAGAAATTCCATTGCTTTGCTGTAGCAGAGGCTGGCTGGCTGCAGGGGATGCGCAAAGCACTTCACAACCTCAGGATTCAGCCCTTCGTCTGCTCCTCTGCTTCTTTCCAAGGACCAGTTTCAGTTTCTGGGGAGGAGAGCAGTGCTGCATCACACAGCTGCCCAGGGGGTGTGTGGGGGGGGTCACCATTCCTGGGGGTGTTGCAGAGCTGTAGTGATGTGGCACTGAGGGATGTGGGCAGTGGGCATGGTGTGGTGGGTTGGGTGGGGATGAAACAAAAAGAGTAAAGGAGAGGTGGTGCTGCTGTGGATGTGATGGCATTCATGTGGTTGGAGCTGCACTGAGCATCCCCCAGGCATTCCCACACCTCAGCAAAGAGACTCCACGTTTTCCTCCTTTGGGAATGGGATTCGTGTGCCTTTCCCTTAATCTCCCATCTGAGAGCCCCTCAGAGCCAATAATGAAAGACTTCCCCCTGCATCAGGATTGCTGCTTTGCGAGATTAAAAACTGCCCCTCAAGGAATCTCCCAGCCATAACAAAGCCATTTGCTAAGATAACATTAGTTCAGCATTGGGGCTGCTCATGGCACGCTCAGAGGAAGCACTCAGATGGCTCCTGTGGCCCTGACCAAAACCAAATGCATCCACAGACCAAAGGGGCCACCTGGCACGTCCCATGGATGCCTTAAGTCACTTACTGGGTTGAACTGGGAAAATCACTTCTAGACATGCCTAACGGAGGGAGAAAGCAGAGCACAAGTTTGTGCCCTTTTGCACGTGATGGCAATGGGATGCTTTCACAGCAAGAGGGATTTGGGGACAGGATGGCGGGAAGAGCTGCTACTGTTGGATGGGGTTGCATCACTGCAGGGGAAGGGAGAAGGAAAACAGGAGTTTGGAATCAGGGTGAAATTCCTCCTGGCTCTCTGCTTTCTTCAGAAATAAAAATACCCCAAATAGCCTGAGAACGAGGCTGCTCAGCAGATGGTACTTTGCCCCTTTTGGGATGCTTTCTATCTTTGCAGCTGGGAATCCATTATGGGAATCTGATCCCAGGAGGCTGCAGATCTGCAGGCCCAGGAGCTTGGGTAGCTTGGGAAATTTGCAGTTGTGCCCTGCGCTGAACCTTGGATGTGAGCCCAGCTCTGATCTCGCTCCATCCGAGTGCCACTGAGCCCCTTCCCCAGGCTGCAGCTCCCCAGCCAGCCAAGCTCTGCAAAGCCACCCCAGGTCCCACAGTCTCTTTCTGTCCCAAACCATGTCCCAGTCCCCAGCTTCTTTGGCGGAATGCTGCATCCAAGCACGCACCATATGTGCTCTCATCAAAGCATTTCCCAGTTTCCTTTCCCAGCACTGGTGGCTTCCTCCAACCTTTTCTTGGCTGTCCCTATTCCTGGGGACATCTTGTGCTCAGCACACTCTATGGATAAATTTTCCATGAATTTTTAGGAACACTTGGTGAGAAGTGCAGTGATTCTGTGACCAAAGCTGGGAGCAGATGTTGGAGAGATGCATTTTGGTGCTCACCAGTCACCTGCTCAGCATCTCCTGCACTGCATTTGGGAGCAGGAGCAACAGGGACGAGATTTTTTCAGAGCCATGAGACATTGTGGGAAAGCCAGCTGAGCTCTGAACAGCTTCTTCCTTTGGGTTTCCTTTGAAAGTAACTCCCAGTTTAGCGCCTGCTTTGCAGAGCTGTGCCTGCAATGGTGCCTGAGCCCAGAAATCAGGGTGTGATTTGGGGTTGTGCTGTAGGCTGCAAAGGATGGAGAGGAAGGCTGCATCCCTTGGGATGCTCTCAAGTGCTTAAATGGTTTGTGTTTACGAGAGCTAAAAATATTTCCTAGGGGAGGGAGAGGGGACAGAAGGTCTGTTTGCTCTGTTATCGCTTATAGGCTCTGTTTTGGAATGAGGCTTAAATAGAAATAACATGGTATTGAAGGTTAAGTAAAACACAGTCAAGCAGCATCCCTGCGAGGCACAGGGCAGCTGGGATGAGCAAAGCCCCTGCATGGCCCTGGGGACAGAATAGGGACGGGGATCCCAGCCCTCAGAGCTGCCACGCATCCCATGGCCATGCTGGTACCTTGCTCAGCAACGCCTGGGTTCCTGCCCTGTACTGCAAACTGCAGCTGGGCCAGGAGTTTCTTGATTGAGCTTTTCTTCCCCCCAGACTCAGCTGAAAAATAGGAATCTAGGGACACTGCCCATGGGAAGAGGTTCTGATGGATGCTCTGGGAGCAAGGGGCTGGGGTCTCCTCCAGATGGGTCATATCACCCACGGTGAGCTCAGGGTTTGCAGCAGGGTGAGAGGGGGGCAGCGCTGCTCAAGCTTTCTTTTTAAAGGGCATTCTGTTTCCAGTGTGAAAAGGGAATAAATCAATGACTCTCATCGTCCTGAGAAAGGCATGTCTGTGCCCCTGCACCACGAGACCCTTGTGTTGCCCCCTGTGACACTGTGTTGGTGATGCACCAACAGACACAGGCTGGGCATTGTGCAATGTGCTCCCAACAGCCCAGCAGTGCCCAGCCACGCTGCAGAGCATCAGCACGGCTCCCCCAGTGCCATGATCCCCTTGGGCAATCAATGGGACATTGTCTGGGGAGAGCACTGGGTGACATACAGCAGAGTGGAGCGGTGGCACAGAGGTCAGGAACGTGAGGACGGTCCAAGTGCCTTTCCCCTGCGCTCATTAATTCTATACGTTTTGCATAAATTCCAGCACAACGAGGAATTTGGGAGTGCTACCAACCCATCTGCTTTGAACCGGCACTCTGGTTTGCAGGAAGGAATGTTACTGGGAACAACTCCGTGCCTAAAATTGGGTCTGATCCAAATCTTGCTGCTTCACCCTTCTTTCTGCCTTGAGCTGAGACCAAACCTGGGACTGAGAAGAAGCTTGGGAAAGAGAAGAAAGTTGAGCAACCTGGGGCTGCATTCACATCTAAGCCTCCCAGCTTACCCTGATGCTTCCAGCCCCTTGCAGATGGATGGGCAGTGCTGGTGATGGAGGAGACAGAGCCAGATCCTGGCTGGGGAGTTTAGAGAAAGAACTTGTAAATGGAGAAAGTGATGAGCACACAGGGATGCCTTTTCAACAGCCAGGAGAAGAAGAAATCGGGAGCTGACACCCATCTTGGAGGGTTGTGTGTTCTCCTGATGGGCTGAAGGACCATCTGGTGAAAGGATGGGGTCTTTAGAAGATGCCCATGGCAGCAAGAAGGCAACACAGGGACTGAGTGGCTCTGCTTTCCAATTCCTGCTTTGTGCACAGGGTCTGACTTTCCCAGCTTGAATTCCTCGTGTCTATTCAGACCATGTCTGACTTCCATCCCAGGCACGTCTGTGCGGCTGCTTAGGGAAAACAAAGCTGGGAGGACGGAGATAACATTGCTGATGTTGGAAATCTGTGCATCCCTTGGTGCTGGGAGATACCTACAGCAAGTAGGGAACTTTCTATGAAAAATCACAGGTTTTGCTAAGGCTCTCAGGAAAACACTGCTCTCCTGCCAACCTCACATCGCATCAGCGCTCTGTAGACAAGATCTCCCTCTGTGCCCTGCACGGATGGATGTGTTTTTGCCTTGGCCCCACCAAACAGCCGTGAGTCAGCTAATCCAAACCAAACAGCGCGGGGAGCGGGAGGTCAGCCCAGTGCGCGGCTGTGAACTCAGAAACAGCACCTCGAGCAGAACCAGGGATAAAATCACAGCACCACGAGCAGGGCAGTGCTGGGTGTCAGCGAGGACTGGTGCCAGGTCAGGGAGCACCCGGTGTGACACTGGGAGATGGTGACTTTTCCCATCCCCTCTGCAACCTTTCTATGCAGATGCTTCCCACCAAGAAGCCTCTGCATTCACTTCACCACTGCCTTCTTGTTGCATCCCTCTTATTTTTGGGGTCATTTTCACCCCTGTTTTGCTGGCTCCCCTTTCTTTCTTACCCTTCTCTCCTCCAAAAGCATCCCTTGGACACGCTTGCGCAGAGAAAAAAGTCCTTCCAGCCAGCTGCCAGCTCTGCCTTTGGCCTCTTGCTCCGGTTTCATGTTTGACTCTAATCCCACAATTTATACAGCGGAGCCCTGGGCCAAACCCAGCGTCTCAGGAACCTGCCAGAAACCTCAGCTTTTCCTAAGCTCTATAAACAGTTTCCTGCCTCCATCCCTGCACCTGCTGCCCATGCCGTGCTGCCGGCCAGGGATGCTGATGGCATCCTGAGGATGGTGGTACCCTGGGGATGGTGGTACTGTAGGGATGGTGGTACCTTGGGATGGTGGTACTGTAAGGATGGTGGTACTGTAGGGATGATGGTACCCCCAAGAGGGACAGGATGCCCAGGGGTGCTGCTCTGCTGGATGGGATGCCCTGTGCTGCATCCCCTTCGCTCTGCTTGGCAATATCTGAGGGCTGTGAAACACTCACCCAAAGCATGAGCAGTGAAAGAGTTCGATTCCTCAGAGCATCTCAGGGCAACCTGGGAGAAAGCAGACAAGGAGTTAGGGACAAGGAGAGACGTGTAGGTGTCCCAGACACCAGCAATGGCTGCTGGTGTGCAATACAATCTTTTGAAGTGGAGCTGCAATGTATTTCTTCATGTTAGTTTCCTTCCCCTATGTTTTCAGAACAACTAAAATCCCAGCGATGCAAACAAGCAGCAGGAGTGGGGCCTGGGGAAAGCACAGAGTGGGGAGATCTCTTCTTATTGTGCTCCTAAAACGCAGTGAGGACACTGCAAATTACGGAGCACCATCTGCTGGCACGTTATTTATTGACTGCCTCTTTCCTTGTGATGCAGCACTGGGGCAGCACTGAAGCAGCTGGGGGCATTATACAAGGGTGAACCCAAAGCACGGTGAGATGAGAAAACCAAGTGGGCAGAACGTGCTGGGTAAATGCACAGAGGCAAAATCCCACTCGCTCCATCGAGGGCAGGACTTCACCCATAAACCTCATCCTAATGGGGAGTTCAGAGCTTAACTTCATTAAACTGATGGTGTCCTTCCTGAGCGCGAGATTAAAACCAGGAGACTTTGCAGGTCTCTGCTGGCAGCATTCGGGGCTCCAGTCGAACGGGACATAAAGCCATTTCCTCCTGTATAAATCACCTGAATGCTTTTAGCTCACCCCGAGGCCCAAAACAATGCTTTCAGCTCAGGTTTGCTCCTTGGTAATGCGTGCTGGCAGCTGGCCCCATCAGTCTCCGGCACAGACATGTAACTCAAGCCTCTGACAAGTGCTGATTTAGAGCTTCAGCCAGTAAATCAGCATAAAATCATCGGAGTGCTTGCTCATATTTTTCCGAGTGGGGCTTTCTCACATGCAAGGCAAAAGGTCCTGGGACCCAGTGCTCACTATGGGACACCAACCGCAGGCTGCTGTGTCCTGGACCCTGCAAACTGCTGTCAAATCCACACAGTGCGCAGGATGGAGATGCTGGGAAAGCAGTGCAAGAGGGCTTTCTGCCGTGGAAGCTGTTTGTGCATGCATGAAGTTGGCATTGCACAGCTTTGGAAGCCCTTTGCAGCGCAGGGAGCTGAGGGTGCACTAGTGGGCTGTGTCGTGCTATACGGGATGATGCTGGGCCACTGTAAATGAGCCAAAGGCTGTGTTTCCCAGCATGGATTTCTCTCCCGTGGGCTCTTCTGCTGGCACTAAGGGAATGGGAAATTTGCAGTACTTCAAAGCCCCTCTGCCACTCTAGACTGTGTGATCCAAGCCAAAGTGCAGCCCCAGTCCATCATCCAAAGAGGGATGTTTGTGTATGTGTGTGCAATGACAGACTGGAGAGACCTGGAGCTGACAGCCAGATGCTTTCCCCAGAAATAAAACGGGTTAAGGGCTTTAAAATGCAGGAAGAGCCTGTGAAGGAAGCACCACTGCAGTCAGTGGCTGTGACAGCCCTGGCCCTGGGTCCCAGCATCCCAACAAGCATCCACTGCCATCCTGTGTGCTGAGGGGAGACAAAAGGACACGACCCAGACCTCTCAATCATTCCACATCAGTAAGTCCTTAATGGGGGCAGAGAACTGCAGAAGTCAGCATCCCCCATGGGTTACAGCTAACGCTTCTCCAAACAAACACCCATCAGATGCTGATAAAAAGTTGCTTTCCATAAACACTCTGTTTATTGCACTGTCCCACTGATTCCTCTGCTGTCAAAACAGAAAGGCAAACGAGAGCAGGGCTGAAACCCATCCCAAAGTCCTACCAAGCTGTGAAAGCATTTGGTGACTTTGTTCCTGGCTTGGATTTCTTTTTTTTTTTTTTTTTTTAAATTGTTTGGATTTGGTCACAAGCAGGAAAAGCTGATCTCATGACAGCTGAAAAAGCCCCGTGAGAGCCCGAGCTGTGAGATCTGATGTCACGCACGGGCAGTCCAGGAGGGAAGGAAACCTCTGTGTCAGCCCAGAAAAGCAGGCAGCTCAGCTCGCCTTGCCTCCAGGCAGCTCTTGGTGGCACGTGGATGCCCGAGGCTTGTGCCTGAATGGTCAGCCCCAGGGAGGGGCTGGGGGTCCCACCAACATCCCATCCAAAACCTGCCTGAGAGGTTGGCACGCAGGCTGAGTCAATGGACATAGGGTGACAGAGCCATTCAGGTTGGAACAGACCTCAAAGAACATCCCATCCAACTGCTGTCCCACCCCACCGTGCTCACTGCCCACCTCCCTCAGTGCCACATCCCCACGGCTCTGGAACACCCCCAGGGATGGGGACCCCACATTGGGGAGCCTGTAAAGATCAGTGCCAGCTGCCACCCAGAAATGGGGGAGCAGCAGTTGTCAGAGAGCTCAGAACCCCCTCAGCTGCCAGGTGCTGCGCTGTGCACACGTGAAGGTGTTTCAGTGCAGGGAAGCATTCAGGCTCAGGCTCTCGTTCCCAAAAGCCGATGCAAAGAATCCTGTTTCACTCTCTACACTGCGATTAGCCACGTGTACAATGGGCTGACCACTGGTATGCGTGGCAATGCCAGAAGTAAATGAAACTCCTCCCTGGGGAGAGGGCTCCATTGCTTTTGGCTGCTGAATTTGTGAAGTTTTTTCACTGTTTTTTTTTCTTTTTTTTCCCCCAAAATGCCTCCTTGGAAAACGCCTCTGGATTTTGATGTGAAGAAAAAATAAACCCAACACTTTTGGTTGTGCAAGGAAAGAAGGAGGAAAAAAAAAGAAATCATTGATATTTTTGAAAGCTGGACGATTTAACCAAACATGGGAGAAATTGAATAGCATCCACGGCCATTGGAAGTGCTTAAAAGAGCTCCGTGAGCCTCCTGACAGGAGAGCAGCCTGCTGACACCTTTCACATGCAATGAGTGCAGCTCACTGCTGCAACAGGAATAAGCCATGGGGAGGGTGCTGGGAAGGCAAGGATACAGAGGGCTGTCCCGCCTCAAAGCACTCGTGTGCTGTGGGCTGCCTCTATTCTGTGCTCATACACTGCAAGAAAGGGATGGGGGCAAAAAGGGCATGAAAGAGAAATGGACAGGAAAGTGAGAAGTGGTGGTTTGCACTCTTTAATTTCCTTATCCAAGTGGAAGCTGCTCTGGTAATGTGTGCAAGGAGTGAATACCTCCAAATCTTCCCAGCAAATGAATAAAACCAATAATATTCACAGAGCGTGGATTCGACTGATTTCCCTCCGTGTGTTTGGACTGAGATCTGACAGCTCTGGATCCAAAGGGGAGATCTGTGTTCGACTTCCTTGGCTCTGGATCACACCTAAGGAGCTCGTGTTTGAGCAGCATCACCAAAGGCCCTACCAACACACCTCCACTGAACGTTGGGTCGCTTTTCCCTTCTGGTCCACAAATAAATTATCTGCCAATAAATGGAACCAGAAGTGGCTTGGCCAGATGTTCTGCTGGGGCCCCAGGGAGTCGTGGTGCAGAAAGGGTAAAATAGGGGGAAAGAGAGAGAAAAAAAAAAAAAGAAGGCAAATAAAAGATAAATATGAACATGGCAGCTCCATTGGCTGCTCAGCGCCGGCGTGGGACCCCCGGCTGCAGCAGCTGTGCCCATTATGGGGTGAGGTGCAATGCCCCAGCTGGGAGGCCGTGCCAAAAGCAGGATATGGGAAAAGACCATTTTCAAACACAGATGGATTAAACCTTGATTCCTTTTTAAATGAGATTTTAATGCGCTGGCTGCACGCGGCCGATGGATATGGGAGACGCTGGCTGGACATGAGATGGGTTGGGGTTGAGTGTCCCCAGGGCACCTTGCTGACCCCATGGTCTCCCATGGGAGAGGCACACTTTGGTGTCCCTGTGCTCTCAGCCCTTGTGCTGAGCTGCAAACCCTGGAGCACAACGCTCTGCAACCCACCAGAACCTACAGACGGGAGATGGACAGATGGAGCAGAAGGACCTTTGATTTTGTTGTGTTTTTCCAGCTGGAAAGAGAAAGAGAAAACAGAACGTTCCCACAGAGGAAACACTATTTACTTCTTTTTTTTTTGCTTTTTTTTTTTGCTTTTTTATTGTGGTGGAGCTGAACTGTAACAAGTCACTTTAGCTCTGTTGAACGCAGGATTTTCTCACTTTCCGGTAAACTGCAGTTACCATGGAGAGCTCTGAGACAAGCCAAAGGCAAAACATTGGAAACTACACCCAAACTCACCGCAGCCATATCAAACAGTTAATTAGAAAGGCCGTCCATGTGTTTCCCATTCCCTGGAATGGTTTGAATCAATTGCCCCGTGATTTATCACCTGTTTTCTGTGCGAACGGTTCAGCTCTGCTCTCGTGCATGTGTTGGAAGGGGGATCTGTGCTGTGCAGCAAAGGAGGGGAGGGAGATATTAAGGACTTACAAAAAAAAACCAAAACCCAACAAAAAACAATCATCAAATAACCAATTCTGCTCCTTCCTCCAGTCTAAATCTCCCCCCGGAATGATACGCTCTGGATTCTGGTGGGATTTCTATCCCTTGGCAACTGAGAAAAAAGGAGAGACAGCTTTTGATTTTGGAGCACTGAGGATTACAGCTCACCGGGCCATGGCAGGGCTGTGCTGTGCAGGGCCCAGATAGGATTCAGTCCCAGCTGCTTCTCTCCCCTTCCCTGTCCCCATCCCTGCATGAAGCAGAGCCCATCCGGATAGGTGGCTGCAGATCCTCATCTCTGGGTTGCATCTCCTTTCCAGGAACGCTTTTCCCCACTTATCTCATGCCTTAAAACCCACAGACCACGGGGTTCCCCCTTGGTGGCCCATGCATCCCGTTGCCACCCTGCTGGCAGGCATGCAGTGATGGCTGATGGGCAGTTGGTGAAGCCTTAATGCCCAGAGCTAAATTCCCAGTTGGGCTTCATCCCCGCTCCCCCTTCACAAGGCATGGGGAGAACACACCTTGGTCCTGCCTTGTGCCAAGAGCTTCAATGCAGAGTTGGTTTCTGCTAGCATCCAAAAGCAGCAAAGAGATGGTTTGGAGGAGATCCCTCTGACCTTCAGCTCTTTCCAAAGCACGCTGACCTGATTTT